TGTGAGCTAGTTTGATTATTGGCACCTTCGAAGCTTTAATGTCCCATCTCCAGGTGGTTAGATCTGTTACTAGGTATGTGAGCTCAGGAGTCTGCCCACTCCTCCCGTATGGATTCAGCTCAGGTGCCCAGGTAGATAGCCACCAAGTGTGCGGTGCAGGCTCTCACCTACAGTCCTAGACAGGCATGAGTGATTGGTGTAGGCACAGGCATCTGGCTGCAGTAGGGGGACACACTCTGAGCAAGGCAGGGGGTGACAGCCTTCCCCATGTGTCCAGGAAGACATGTCCCTGTTCCCTAGAGCACGTAGGTGGGTGGGTTTTGCAGCCAGCCTATATGCACTCAATGCTGTTGGCTGTAAGGACTCGGGGGCAGCTATTGCAGGTGGGATAGGGGCATGGGTGGAGCCACCAGTCCTCAGGGCCCTGATGTGGGTAGGTGAAGACCGTGCTTAATGGGCAGAGCAAAGTCAAATGTCACAAACTTGCTACTTCACAGCTGAAACAGTTGAAGCTAGACTTCAGGTATATACCTTATTGTACTGTGGCAATGAGGGCCTACACTGTTCAAATGGGCCCACACAAGTCTGTGTGGGGGGAAAGGCACTCAAAGTCCGTGGATCCTTTATGCCTGTGCCTAGGCAAAGGAGCTGTGCCTACCTTGAGTCCCTAGCTTAGGGGAGCCGGCAGTTTTTTTTTTCTCCCCCCATTTGTTAATTTGTTCACTCTCCAAGGCAGGGAGAGTGGCTCAGGGTGTGTGACGGATCTTACTTCCGGCCCAGGGGAATCGGCAATTGCTGAAGCCGTTCCGGGACCCAGTGCAGAGAAGGGAGCAGGGAGGTAAATGTTAGAGTTTTTTCCCTAAGGGGGGTGCTTTTGATCCACACGACAGGCCAGACTCAATTACTCATCTTTCGCCGGTCGAGGGCTGCTTCTCACTGGTTCTGGGTGGCCGAGTACATTCTCTGCCTCTGGGTTTCTCCCAGTACAGAATACGCCCCCTGAGCACGGCTGCTTGCCTGCCTCACCACTCACCCACAAGCTGATCAGGCCTGAAGGGCTCAGGCTCTCTCCGGGTCAAGTCTGGCAATTCCTCACTGCTTCTGAACCGTCTCTCCCTCCCCCTGCCACTCAGTCCAGTTTCTCAACTTTGCCTTTGATGTTCAGGGCTCCTAAATTGTCATATATAATTAGTTCACTTGTTTTTTGGGGTCTTTGTTGTAAGAGGGTCCACCAGAAGCATCTGACTACTCTGTCATCTTGGCCCCACCCTGGTCTCTTTTTTTTCTTTCCTATCTTTTTAATGACCTCTTTCTTTCTTCATGTAAGATATCCTTGATGTCGTTCCACAACCCTTCTGGTCTTTGGTCATTTTGTTCAATGTGTCAAATCTATTCCTGAGATGTCTCTAAATTCAGATGGGATACACTCAAAGTCATATTTTGGCTCTCATGTGTTTGCTTTAATTTTCTTCAGCTTCAACTTGAACTTGTGTACAAGCAGTTGATGGTCTGTTCTGAAGCTGGCCCCTAGCCTTGTTCTGACTGATGATATTGAGCTTCTCCATTGTCTCTTTCCATAGATAAAATTGATTTGATTCCTGTGTATTCCATCTGGTGAGGCCCACGTATATAGTCACAGTTTATGTTGTTGAAAAAAAAAGGTATTTGCAATGAAGAAGTCGTTGGTTTTGCAAAATTCTACCATGCAACCTCCAGTGTCATTTCTATCACCCAAGGCCATATTTTCCAAATAGCAATCCTTCTTTGTTTCCAGTTTTTGCATTCCAATTACGAGTAACTGTCAATGCATCTTGATTGCATGTTTGATCAATTTCAGACTGCAGAAATTGGTAAAAATCTTCGATTTCTTCATCTTTGCCATTAGTGATTGATGCATAAATTTGAGTAATGGTTACACTAACTGATCTTCCTTGTAAGTGTATGGATATTGTCCTATCACGACAACATTGTACTTCAGGATAGATCTTGAAATGTTCTTTGTACAATGAATACACCACCATTCCACTTCAATTTGTCATCCTCGGCACAGTAGACCATATGATTGTCTGATTCAAAATGGCCAATACCAGTCCATTTCAGCTCACTAATGCCTAGGATATCAATCTTTATGAAGTCCATTTCATTTTTGAAGATTCTAATTTTCCTAGATTTATACTTCATATATTCCATGGTCTGATTATTAATGGATATCTGCAGCTGTTTCTTCTCATTTGGAGTCATGCCACCTCAGCAAATGAAGGTACTGAAAGCTTGACTCCACCCTCATCATTAAGGTCAACTCTATTTTGAGGAGTCACCTCTTCCCCAGTTGTATTTTGAGTGCCTAACAACCTTAGGGGCTCATCTTCCCGCACTATGTCAGACAATATTTCGCTGTTATGCATAAGGTTTTCACTGGCCAGTTTTTTCAGAAGTAGACTGCCAGGTCCTTCTTCCTAGTCTGTCTTAGTCTGGAAGCTCCACTGAAACCTGGCCATGATGAGTGACCCTGCTGGTATTTGAATTACTGGTGGCATAGCTTCCAGTACCACAGAAACATGCAAGCCACCACAGTACGAGAAACTGACAGATGGTGGTTGTCCTGTGAAGTAGCGCTGATATAAAGACCAAGAAGAGGAAATAGAAGAGATTCTGCAAGAGAACATCAGTTTGAGAGCAAGGAAGAGAATCAAGGGGCAAAAAAGATTCAAGAATTAATAGATGGTGTGGTCATTTAAGAAGCCCTGTTGGTGCAGTGGTTAAACACTGGGTTGCTAACTGAAAGGTTGGCAGTTTGAACCCACCAGCTGCTCTGCAGGAGAAAGATACGATGGCCTGCTTCCATAAAGATCACATCCTTGGAAACCCTCTACTCTGTCCTTAGGGTCATTATAAGTTCGAATCTACTACAGGGCAAGGGTTTGGTTTTTGGGTGTATGCCCATTTAGTAGCACATATATTGCAACTGAAAAAATCAGAAAAGATGAGCATGGCACCTATGTTAGGATGAAATGCCACTTCATGAAGAATTTAATATTTTCAAACCATGTTTGAAATTGTTCATAATAGACTGTTTGCAAAGACAAAAAAGAATAATAAGGCCATAGTACTAAAACACTTGGAAAGTTAAAAACAATGAGGAATGACTTGCCTCTTCATATATTAAAGCAATGATAAATTCATTAGAATTGGAATTGTTAGATTCTAAAACACTGGTAAAGGAGCTCTGGTGGTGCAATGGTTAAGTGCTCAGCTGCTAACCGAAAGGTTGCCAGTTTGAACCAACCCAGTGGCTCCACAGAAGAAAGACCTGGAGATCTTCTACCGTAACGATTACAGCCAAGAAAACCCTATGGAACAGTTCTACTCTGTCACACAGTCACTATGAGTTGGAATGGACTCAACAGCTCCCAACAACAAAACATTAGCAAAAAAAGTAACAAACAGGTAGATAAGCCATGTAGCTCTGAAATAGATCTATTCAGAAGAGCTTACTATGTCATAAAGAACACATAATAACTAGTGGGAAAACCTAAGTTTATATTCAATAATGGTGTTCATAAAACTGGCTACTTGGGGAGAAGAATCAAGTTAGAACCTGTCTTCATTTCATAAGACAATCTGAATGGTAGTCCCTTAATTTGCTATTTGGAAATGGTGATTATAAAAAGCATGTTATGTACCTTGGAGGTGTTGTTAGTTGCCATTGAGTTGGCGCCGACTCATAGCGACCTTATGTCTAACAGAACAAAACGTTGCCTGGAACTGCGCCATCCTCACAATCATTGGTGTGCTTGAGTCCATTGTTGTGGCCACTGTGTATTTTGAGTGCCTTCCAACCCAGAGGCTCACCTTCCAGCACGACATGCGACAGTATTCTATTGTGATTCATTAATGTATTCACTGGCTGATTTTCATAGAAATGATCCCCAGGCCTTTCTTCCTGTCTTAGTCTGGAAGTGATGATGAAACCTGTCCACCATGGGTGACCATGCTAGTATCTGAAATACTAGTGGCATAACTTCCAGCATCATAGCAACACAAAAGCCATCACAGTATGGCAAACTGACAGAAAGGTGGGGGACCTTAGGGGTACTGCCTTATAAATCGTAAAGCACTAAACAAAGGTTATTTTTACCATCATCATCATCATCATAAGGAGCCCTGGTGGCACAGTGGTTAAGTGCTTGGCTGCTGACTGAAAGGTCAGTGGCTCAAACCCACCAGCTGCTCCAAGGGAAAGATGTGGCAGTCAGCTTTTGTAAAGATTACAGCCTTAGAAATCCTATAGGGCTGTTCTACTCTGTCCTATAGAATCGCTATGAGTTGGAATCGACTCAACAGCAACAGTTTTTTGTTTTTTTTTTTTAATCATAATCATTATTATCTCTCACTACCCAGGAATCAAATCCTTATTTCCAGAGTATCTGAATGTGCTTCTCCGTATGTTACCAATAGGGTGGTGACACCAAGACCAGATGATTTAAGCAGATATATTCCGGCATTAAAGTAAAAGCACCAGGATCATCAGCACGAGGTGTCTACATTGAATCCAGTATTCCATATTGTTTTATGCTACTAATAACCAAGAACTGTACTAGAAAATGATGGGTGCTTTTGCTACCACACACGTGGGCATTTAGGTACAGAAGAAAAATCAATGTTAGACAACTACATGTATGTCTCTGCATATTTGAGGAAGCAACAACTTGAAGGACACACATTTTATAGAACAATTTATTCAAGTTCATTTGCAAATAACTTAGGAATTTTCAACAGAATGTCACTGTCTATTAAGTATAGGATTCAATTAATAGATTAATGAGTTTTAGGTAGTAATCACAGACTCATCAACCTACCTGAAAATCCTGCAGTAACTTTGGGGCATCAACTAAGTGTGGCATTCCTTCTTTGCCATTGCTGATTTCATCTATAACTGTATGTGTGTGTGTATTATTGTGTGTGTGTTATCTGTGAGACAGTACATTCATTTTATTATGTGAGTTACAAGACTTTGCTATTTGGTGCATCAAGTAAAAGTCATCTTTCATGTCTTCTGATTTTTTAGGATCATAAAATATTTATTGGGTACTTAATTATGTACAAGGCACTGTGATATGGCTGGGGATTCAAAGAGGTACAAAGCTCTATTGGTCCCTCAAGAAGTTGTTCGGTATAAAAAGATGCACTAGTAGTACAGAATGCATGTGAAACCTGGACAATGAATAAAGAAGACTGAAGAAGAATTGATGCCTTTGAATTATGGCATTGGCAAAGAATACTGAATATATCATGGACTTCCAGAAGAACGAACAAATCTGTTTTGGAAGAAGTACAGCCAGAATGCTCCTTAGAAGCAAGGATGGCGAGACTTCGTCTCACATACTTCGGACATGTTATCAGGAGGGACCAGTCCCTGGAGAAGGACATCATGCTTGGTAAAGCAGAGAGTCAGTGAAAAAAAGGAAGACCCTCAATGAGATGGGTTGACACAGTGGCTGCAACAATAAGCTCAAGCATAACAAGGATTGTGACGCTGGCTCAGGACCAGGCAACATTTTGTTCTGTTGTACATGGGGTCGCTATGAGTTGGAACAGACTCAGTGGCACCCAACGACAACAGTAGTACAGAAAACTAAAAGCACTGAGAATGGGGCCAGTTTGGAGTGTATTGGAGAACTTGGAGAAAACTTATTGAAAGGTGTAGGACTTGAGCTAGGAAAGATAGAAGGACAAGTCTTAAGTTCATTCTTGTTTTTGTTGGATACTGTTGATTTTGACTAATTAATGACCCCATGTGACACAGGTGAACTTCCCCACAGGGTTTCCTAGGTTGTAATCTTTAAGTAAGCAGATCGCCGGGTCTTTCTCCTGTGGAGACACTAGGTGGGGTGGAACTGCCAACCTTTCAATTAGCACCCAAGTGCTTAACTGTTGTGCCACCAGGGATCTTTACTTCATTCTTATAAGACTTTTAAATTATTTATTAATGGAATTAATTGAAAGCAATGATGAAATTTGTAGTAAAGAGATTACTCTTGAGAAACACGTTCAAGATTTGAATATCCTTCACTTTTAAAACAAGACATATATAAGGCAAGACTCAACGTTTGAGTACTGCCATCTTTAAAATTCTGTTATTTTGTGCAGGGAAAATATCTGAATGGTCCAATTTCCACATGTGACAGTTGTATATGGTCCAAATCTTACAGGATATCAAAAACCAGTTGCTGTCAAGTCAACTCTGACTCATGGAGATCCCATGTGTGTCAGAGTAGAACTGTGCTCCTTAGTGTTTTCAATGGTTGATTTTTTGGAAAACAGATCACCAGGACTTTCTTCTGAGGTATCTCTAAGTGGACTCAAACCTCCAACTTTTCAGTTGGCATTGAGTGCTAACCATTTTCACCACCCAGGGTGTTTACGACTATATAGCAGTGGTGTTTATTGACAAAATATGTTGTTTTTGTTGTGGTTTTAACCCCCTGCTCATTTTACTAACATCTAATATATCATCCACACGGAGACCCCTATTTTTGTCCAAAGTGTCACTTTCCACATGGGTTTTACAATGAGAAATTCAGCAGGATGACAGGCACTTTCATTTTATACTGAAAATAAAGAACAACTTTGGCCAAGAAATTTCATAATTTCGTGCCAAGGCTAAGTATCTAATTAATGTCAGTGATCATAATCAGTACTTAGTTGTGTGTGGTGGCACTGTGGTTAAGAGCTAAGGCTGTTAACCAAAAGGTCGGCAGTTCAAATTCATCAGCCACTCCTTGGAAACCCTATCGGGCAGTTTTACTTTGTTCTGTTTACTTTGCTATGAGTCGGAATCAACAGCAAAGGGTTTTTTTGTTGCTGTTGTTAGTGTTGTGTATGTGTGTGTGCAAGCTATTAAGGATCATAGATTGAACATAATCCTAATTAAAACCAAGATTCTTACCCATTCTGACTTCTAAACCCATATTCTCTCCACTATAACACAGTAACTCTAAGGTAGATTTTTTTCACCATAAAACCTAAATAAGTAAATAAAATTAGGTTGGTTTATAATTGCAAGGTATTATCTTCATTAGCATTTGTGAAAAAAAAAATTATGTTACCAAGAAGACATTAACTGATTTATATTGTTGGTGGAAGAGAAAAGAAAAGTGAATAAACTCACATCTAAAGCACATTGTGTTATAACAATGCTCCATACGACAGGGATGTGAATCATATTTCTGGTTCAAGTTGATGAGTATCACACTTCACAGAAAGACCCTACAGCTTGTGAAACCATGTGTACTTCTGCCTTCTTCATTTCCAATTATCAAAATACAGATAAATCACTTCATGTGATAGAAAAATTACAATAAAGAGGAAAATTGAAGGCATAACCCTAGGAAAGAAAATAAAACTCTAGTTCTATTTGTATCTTTAGACACCAGTGATAATAGAATTGTTTCACTGATACCAGTGATAATGAAATTCCTCTGTACTTGGAATTGCTCTAGGTTTATCTTCCTCCTCTAAACTTAGTTTTAATCATACCTTAGAAATAAAATGCAATTAAGTTAGTACATGTTCCTACAGTCTATGACCTCTGTTTCAATCCCACTCTATTACAAGTAACATATAATCAAAAATTTCAATCTGCTTTTTGAACTAGGAAGCACTGATATAATATAGTATCTTTTGGAAAGGTATAAATAATTTGGAAAAAAATGCCAAAGTACTGGTTAAAATATGCCACGGTGTCATATGTTTCTTTTAATCATAGTTTCCATTAGCTTGAAACACAAATGGAAAAGAGAGAGAGGGAGTTTAAGGAATCAATATCCGATCACTGAAAATGTAATTACAACGTGGGCCAGGCATTGGCAAGAGCACGTGAAAGTAGGGGAAAAGATGTGCCAAGCTTGTGCTCGACACTGTAAGTATATCTACCACTAGCACATTCTATGTAAAAGCAGGCGAAAGATCAATGGCAAAATATTGCTAAAATGAGGCATCAAACATATTAGCTAGATACTGTGAAGAAGTAAAAATCTTC